GACCTCCTTGGCTTCCTTTAAGTCCCAATAAAAATCCCACCTTCTACAGGAAGCCTTTCCCAACCCCTCTTAATTCAAGTGCCTTCCCTCTGTTAATTATTTCCTATTTATCTTGCATATAGCTTTCTTTGTATCTATTTATTTGTCTCTTGTCTCCCCCATTAGATTATAAGCTCTTTGAGGGCAGGGACTGTTTTTTGCCTCTTTTTGTATCCCCAATGCTTAGCACAGTGCCTGGCTTATATTAGGTGCTTAATTAATGTTATTTGATTGATTGATTTATCCAGATCAACCTTCTTTGGATAAACTCCAACATGCCAATGTCCTTCTTAAAATGTGGTACCTTGAGCTGAATACGATTCTCCAGGGGATAGTGCGGCTTAGTGGAGGGAGTACGGTCATGGAATCTTAAGACTGGGGTTGAATCCCAGATCTGTTACTATAAGTGCAATTTTGGACACATCACTTGACCTTTGTTTCTACACCAACTGCCACAATTATATGTGGATACTTTGATGATCAAAACCCTCTCTCATCCTAATTTTTTATTTCTCCTTATCTAATGACTGTTTCCTTTCTGCCTGCAAACATGACCAGATCTTCTAAAAACCTTGATGCAACGCTATCAGTCCTCTCAAACTATCATCTGATATGTCTCCTTTTCCCTTGTTTTTATTCAGTTGTTTCAGTCATGTCCGACTATTTGTTGTTTTTTTTAGAATGCATTACAAGATTTTGTTCTCTGTGATATAAACACCAATGTGAATCTTTTTACTTTTTACTTTTACACTTACAAATTCTTCAGTAGTTTTTTTTTAAAAAGTCATAAAGGAAACCAGTGATTATATGTGTGTCTATTCGTCATCTCTGAATACCACCTGAGCTAGTATTACCTAGGAATTAGAACTTGCCTAGGTATTGAAATTTACCTAGGTCAGTCCTTCATTCTTTAAAAACACACTGTGACTTTTATGACTTAAGACAATTTGAGAGAAGCAAATGCTTGTTTCCTCAGAAAACAAGAACACTTTCTTGTCATCATCTGGAATCAAAAATCATTTCAGTTTGATTTACCTTTATCTAAGGGTAAAATTAATCCGTCCCACACCAATGATTTTTTTTTATATTCAGTGGTTCCAAAAGAAAATTCTGTCTAGTTGCAGGTTATAAAATAAACCCATATAAATCGTCAGCATTTCTATACATTACCAACAAAGTCCAACAGCAAGAGATAGAAAGAGAAATTCCATTTAAAGTTACTGTAGACATTATAAAATATTTAAGAGTCTGCCTCCTGAAACAAACCCAGGAACTCTATGAACACAATTACAAAACACTTTTCACGCAATTAAAGTCAGATCTAAATAACTGGAAAAACATAAGTTGCTCATGGGTAGGCCAAGCTAATATAATAAAAATGACAATTCTACCTAAGCTAATTTACTTATTCAGTGCCATACCAATCAAACTACCAAAAAATTATTTTATGGAGTTAGAAAAAAATAATAACAAGATTCATTGGGAATAACAAAAGGTCCAGAATATCAAGGAAACTAATGAAAAGAAATGCAGGGAAAGGTGGTCTAGCCATTCCAGATCTTAAATTGTATTATAAAGCAGCAATCATCAAAACTGCTTGGTACTGGCTAAGAAATAGAGTGATGGCTCAATGGAATAGGTTAAGTATGCAAGACACAGTAGTCAATGACCATAGTAATTTATCATTTGATAAACCCAAAGACCCCAGCTTCTGGGATAAGAACTCACTATTTGACAAAAGCTGCTGGGAAAACTGGAAAAGAGTATGGCAGAAACGAGGAATAGAGCAAAATCTCACACCATATACCACAATAAAGTCAAAAAGAAAATTCTGTCTAATTTAGACTGAGTCTATGCCAGCAGAGTATCCATAACTAGATACTAATATAAAATATGTCAGCATCCTGGCTGAAGTCCATGTGTTCACAAAAAGAGATTAATATAAAATGTTTGCCAACATCATTCCTAGAAATTCTGTTACAGTCCTGTGTAGTGATAGATCTGATTGGTTCAGATCTTCATATTCACTAAGAAGAGGCAAACATCAATAGATGTCTTCATAGTGTTTTCCAATTTTGGCTTTTAGCTTCCTAAAATATAAAAGATCTTCCAATCCAGTTTCAAGCACTTTTTCTTCCCTCAATTTAATTTTATTTGTACAATGAATTTTATCATCTTTGGCAAGCTGCCCATTTACCTGCTTCATATCCGATTCTTTGTGACCCCATTTGGGGTTTTCTTGGCAATTGCCATTTCCTTCTCCAGCTCATTTTACAGATGAGGAAACTGAGGCAAACAGGGTTAAGTGACTTGCCCAGGGTCACACAACTGGTAAATGTCTGGGGCTCGATTTGAACTCAGGAAGATGAGTCTTCCTGACTCCAGGCCCAACACTCTGTCCACTGCACCCACGTCTCCTTAAAGTCATAATTAAACTCTTAGAAAAAGTCATCTACACTCCCTGCCCCCTACTTTTGGACCTCCCATTGATTTCTTAACCCTTTGGAATGTGGCTTTGGACTTGAACTCACTCAACTGAAACTGCCCTGTCCAGGGGCAGCTAGGTGGCACGGAGGATAGAGCAGCAGCCCCGAAGTCAGGAGGACCTGAGTTCAAATCTGGCTTCAGACCAAACACTTGACACTTACTAGCTGTGTGACCCTGGGCAAGTCACTTAACCCCAATTGCCTAAAAGCAAAAAACAAAAAAACCAAGGTTACCAATGATCTCTTAATAGCCAGATCTAAGGTCCTTTTTCAGCCCTCATCCTTCTTGAACTGTCCATGGTATTTGACTCTGTTGATGGCCACCTCCTCCTACCTAGACTCTGTCCTGCTTGGGTTTTCAGGGCACTGCCCTTTCTCCTTGTTCTCCTCCCACTCGTCTGACTTCTCCTTCTCAGTCTCATTTGTTGGCTCACCATCCCCTTGGTGGGCAAACTCCAGGACTTTGTCCTGGGCCCTCCTCTCTCTGTATATGTTCTGTCTCGGTGATCACACTTGTTGTCATCTTTATCATATTGCCACCAGATCTATAGCCTCTCCTGGGCTCTAATCTCACATCACCAACTGCCTATGGGACATTTCCAACTGGATGCCTCAGAGTCATCTCAAACTCCATTTGGCCTTAACAGAACTCATTATCCTCCCTATCCTCTTCCTATAATAATAATAATAGCCAGCATTTATGTCACTCTTTAAGGTTCGAGAGTTATGTTACAAACATCTCATTGAGGCCTCACAATAACCCTGAGAGGTAGGTATTATAATTATCCCCATTTTACAGATGAGGAAACTAAGGCAGAGAGAAATTAAGTGATTTGCCCACAGTCCCACAGCCAAAAAGTGTCTAAGGCAGGATTCAAACTCAAGTCTTCCTTGACTCCAAGTCCAATGTTCTATCCACTGTGCCACTAAGATGGCTCCCTCTTCCTACCCTTCCTATTTGTGTTGAGAATATTCAATACTGCCATTCTCCCAACAACTCACCTTCATCACATCGGAGTCATCCTTGCCTCATCATTCTCACACATCACCCCACCACATCCAACCAACTGCAAAATCTTATTGATTCTACCTCCCCAAGATCTCTCAGAGCTTAAATATCATAACTGAATCAATCAAACATAGGCTTTAGACTAAGTGCACAAAGTCTTTCACCAATGTAGAAGTCCTTAAAAGGCATTGGATGTCCTACTGGGGCCATTGCTAGCATATACCCTAAAGAGATAAAAGGAAGGACTCAACATGCATATATATTCATAAGAGCACTTTTTTGTTGTAGCAAAGAACTAGAAACAAAGTAGGTATCCATTAATTGGCTGACAAATAGTGGCATATGAATGTGATGGAATATTTTTTGCACTATCAGTAAGAAATGGATAGTTTCAGAGGAAAGGTTTCTATGAACTGATGCAAAGTAAAGTAAACAGAACTAGGAAAATGATTTATACCATAACAAAAAAAATTATAAAGAAAAACAATTTGGAAAAGTTTTGGAACTCTGATCAATGCAATAACCAGTCATACCTCCAGAGGACCCACATTGAAGCATGGTACCCAACTCGTGACAGAAGGGTGATGGGCATGAGAGGCAGAAAGAGAAATACATTTTTGGATATGGTCAAGTGGGAATTTATTTTGTTTGAATATGAATATTGTTATGAAGGGTTTCTTTAAAAAAAAAACTTATTGTTCAGTGACCCTGGGCAAGTCACTTAACCCCCACTGCCTCAAAAAAAATGTTGTTCAGTTGGAGGAGTGATAGGGAAAGTATGTAAGTTGCTTGTTAATTAAAAAAAATAATAAAACTAAATTTAATGATAGAAAACATGCCTCAGAGAGACTAAATGATTTGCTGTAGGACAGACAAATTGGGATTCAAACTAAGGTCTCTCAACCTCAGATTGAATGCTCTTCTCCCCCCAGGTAGGGAACTTGTGGCCTTCTAGGTCATTGGGTGCAGCCTTGACTGAGTCCAAGTTTTACAGAACAACTTTTTTTATTCTATGAAGTTTGGATTCAGTCAAAGGGCCACACTTGAGGACCTAGAGGACCACATGTGGCCTTGAGGCTGCAGGTTCCCCACCCCTGCTTGCTTCTCAAAGTGTTGTTTGCTTGGTCATATCACTATTTGGGGAATTCTAAGTTTCTCCCAATTTTTCAATATTCTAAATAACGTTGCTGTAAGTGGGGTTAACTGGTACAATTAGTTGGGGTTTTTTTGGTTGTTTATTTTGCCACCCACCTATTGCCATGTTTATTTCTCTGGACGTGGACTCTCCCTCTTTCTTCTGCCTTTGGGGGTTTGTGCCCCCCAGGTTCTGATCTCTTCACCTGGCCTCTGACCAGGTGATTATCCAGCCCCTTGCCCTCCCTCAGTGCCTTGACTCCAGCTTGCTTTCCTGGCTCTGACCCCAGATTCTTCCACTGCCCCAGGCCTGGTACCCACTTCTCTGATACCTCTCCTGGAATCCACAATCCAGGGCTGCCCATGCGCTGCAGTGACATTGACTCTCTCGGGACCTGATTTCTTACTCTGGCAGATGTGCGCACATTGCTTCGGGTGCTGTCCACAGATGGAGTAGCAGCTGATGCACTCTTTCACGAGGTGGTCATAGTAGCTGCCTTGTTTCTTGCTGCACCTCAGAGACTCTGAGAAATAGAGATTGGCACATAGTAAATGCTTCAGTTCTTCAAGAACTAAACAGGGGCAACTAGATGGCACAGTGAATAGAGCTCCAGCCTTGGAGTCAGGAGGACCTGAGTTCAAATCTGGCCTCAGGCACTTGACACTTACTAGCTGTGTGACCCTGGGCAAGTCAATTAACCCTGATTGCCTCACCAAAAAACAAACAAACAAACAACTAAATGTAAGGGTCATCTCATCCCCTTATGCAGACCAAAACTCCTTCATGTCTTAGTAGATTGTTTCATGAGACTCTAAACTCAGCTCTAAATTTTAGGAGCCTGGGACCTTCTTACCCTTCAGGTAAGTCATTTAATATTCTGCTTCTCGGTTTCTTTATCTGTAAAATGAGGGTATAAGATTAGATGTAGCTCTGCCAGTTCTAAATCTAGGATATTATGAAGTTTAAAAAGTGAGTTCTTCTTGCATTTAAATTTTTTTTTCTTTCTTTTCCCATCCTTTCCTTTCTTTCCTTCTTTTCTTTTCCTTTCTATTTGTACAAAAATATGATGCACACACAATGTGCCTAGAGTACTTGATCCAGAGTCAGAAGACCTGGATTCAAATTCTGGTTTTCAATCCTACCCACTGCTTGTATGATCTCGAAGGCACCACGTGATGCCTCCTCAATTACTCTTCTGTAAAACAGAGGGTTTGGACTAAAGGATGTTTAAGGTACCTTCTGGCTCTAGTCCCATGACCCTTTCGTGTAAAGTGAGGCACAACTCTCCATAAGGCTAATACCTCTGTGTTTGGAGCAGCTTCCTCTCTGTTCCAGGATATCTGAGGGAGCTCAGGTTTTGCTATACTTTCACCCAGAAGATGATCTTTTAGGATACAGTACCAGGGAGGGAGAGAGGGAATAAGCATCTCTATACAGCTCGCTATGCCAGGCACTGTGCTAAGCACTTCACGAACACGATCTAATTTTATCCTCACAACAACCCAGAAGACATAGGTGCTATTATTGTCCCTATTTTACAGTTGACAAATCTGAGGCAAATGAAGATTAAGTGACTTGTCCAGGGTCACACAGCTAGGGAATGTCTGAGACCAGATTTGAAGGTCTTCCTCACTCCAGGCCCAGTGCTGTATCTATTACATCACTTACCAGTAGATTTTTATCCTATAGATAAATTATTACAATGGACTTTGCCCCTGGATTATGTTTTGATCTAATTTTTTGATTTTTAATTTATGGAATAAAACAAACATTTCCATAACATAGAACTATAAAAAAGATGATTGTACACGAAACTGCAAATCTACTAAGCCCAACTTGCTATTCCTTTCAAATACCCAAGAAAATTAGGTAAATTGATCAAATTTCCATAGCTGTACAACCAAAATATACAAAATATTAATGATACCACTTTGAGGTATCTTACCATTCAGGTCAAAAGCCACGACAAACAAACTCTAAAACGTCCTGACTTTATTGCACTGATTCTTGGCTGAACATGTGACCATTGGTGGGAGCTTGACCATCTTCTTGTTATAAAGAATTTTTTCATTGTAATATTTGCTGTCAAGTGAGCTGATCTGCAATGCTTTTATTTCCAAAAGTTCTCCTCATTTGTTGTGTCATTTAATTTTCACAATCACCCTATGTAAAAGAAGGGAAACTGAGGCACAGAGAAGCAGTGACCAGCCCAAGGGCATATAAGTGAGCAAAGCTCTTTACTCACCTCTTCCTTTGCCTCCAGCCCCAGAATGAATTGTTCTTTTTTTTTTTTAAGTGAGGCAATTGGGGTTAAGTGACTTGCCCAGAGTCACCCAGCTAGTAGGTGTTATGTGTCTGAGGCCGGATTTGAACTCAGGTCCTCCTGACTCCAGGGTTCTATCCACTATGCCACCTAGCTGCCCCCTGGACTGAATTCTTCTAAATGATGCCACAGCCTTTGCTAGCTCTCCCAAGCGGCTGATGTATACAATTGTCTTTTGTTTTTATTATTTCAGTAATATGACATTTTGAAGCAGAGGCTGTCCTCAAGGATTTTGCTTTCTATTAGGTAGAGGGGAGGAGAGACAACATGCAAACATCTAAGGAAGTGAAAAAAAAAACAACAACTATACAAACTTATTTCCAGGAATATTAAATCGGCTACTGGAGAAAAGAGGGGGATCAAGAAAGGCCAAGCTGAAGGCCAAGGAGGAGACGACACCACTCTGAAGGAAGTGAGGGATTCTGCTGTAAAGGCAAGGGGTCGGCCAAGTGGTTCCCCTTGTCTAAAGTTCCTCCTAGCTCTCTGTCTCTGAGGGTAAGAAGATGCTGCAACGGAGAGAACACTGGGCCGGGAGTCAGGAAGTGCCTATTTCAAATCCTGCCTCAAATATTTGCTAACTGTGTGACCCTGGGCATGTCACTTTACTTCTCTCAGTCTCAGTTTCCTCATCTGTAAAATGGGGATAATAATTGCACCTACTTCATAGAGTTATTGAGAAAACCAAAGATAGCTATATATCTTAAACCTTAAGGCATTATATAAACACTAGTTAATGTTAATATTATTATTGTTGTTGTTTATGTTTGTGCCTAGCATAATGCTTTATATACAGTAGGCCCTTAATTAATGTTTATTGAATGCTGAACATTGAAAGATGTCTCTCTCTAATTTGGGTCAATGGATAAAATCAACAAGCGTTTATTGAGTGCCTACTATAAAAAAATATTATGCTGGACACTCAATGATCATATTCTTGAAAATTGCTTTTAGGTCTGAGCCCAGTGTCCCCCACTCCACCCCAGTTTGTAGTTGGCACATAGAACGTGATATGTTTTCTGATTGACTGGTTTGGTTTTTGGGGTTTTTTTTTTAGGCAGTTGGGGTTAAGTGACTTGCCCAGGGTCACACAGCTAGTTAGTGTCAAGTGTTTGGTCTGAAGCTGGATTGTGAACTCAGGTACTCCCCACTCCAGGGCTGGTGCTCTATCCACTGTGCCACCTAGCTGCCCCTGGTTTGGTTTTTAAACCTTTGATCAGATCCCCCAGAACCAGGGCATGTCAGAGCTGTAAGGGACTCTTAGGGATCATCTCATCTAACCATTCCATTTCACAAACGAGGAAACTGAGGCCTGGAGAGGTTAAGGGAATTGGCCAAGGTCTACCTAGCTGTAGGGAAGAGGTTAGTACCAAGGTCTCCTGGCTCCCAGTCAAGGTAAGTTTGGTGTGTCCAAGCAGAGGCTGCCCAGGTCTAAAGAGGGTTCTGCTAGGGCTTAATCCAATCCTCCACTCCCATAGGGCCAGCACACCAAAGTCCAAATCCCAGCTCTGCCCCTTAGCCTTGGGTAAGTCACTTATATGCTCTAAGCTTCAGTTTCCTCATCTGGAAAATGGGCCTAGTTGGCCTCCAAAGTCCCTCCCAGCTCGACATCTATGCTCCTGTGATTCCTTCTCCAGGACTTACTGCAAAACACGTCACAATTCTTGTGGTTGGGTCTGTGACATAGCCGTTCGCAGGGGACACAGTTGTGCACTAGCAAGTCCCAATACTCTTCCTTCAGGCAGCGTTTCATGGTCCTCCACCATAGGTGAGGCTTGATGGTGGCTGCAAAACAGAAGAGGGATGAGGAGGGCCTGGCTGGGCCACAGGCTGATGGCTTGGTTCACTCTTCACCTAAGAGAGCCTTCTAGAGGCTCCGCTGCTCAAAGCCTGGGATCAGGGGGGTTGCACTTGAAACTCTGGAAATGACCATTATCCAATCCAAGAAGCATTTAGTTATTATGCATTTGGGCAATGCACTGTGACAGGGGTAGAGACACAAAAACAAAATTTTTAAAAGTTCCTGCCTTCAAGAAACTTGCATCCTACTGCAGGAATAGAAAATATAAACTTACATGCAATGTAGTTTTAGGAGGGAAGAAGACAAACAGCAACTAGAATCAGGAAGGGATCCCTAAAGGAGGTGGCATATTCATTATAAGTATTTACGAAGAGCCTACTCTGTCCCAGGTATTGTGTTAGAAGCTATGGGTGGGGGGAAGTAAAAAACAAAACAATTCTTGCCTTCAAGAAGCTTATATTCTACCTAGAAGAAGCAACACAGACACTAAGTTCATATAAAATATATGCGAAGTTATTTTGGGGTACAGAATAGCACTAAGCATGGGGACAAGCATTGGAAAAGGCCTCCATAAGGCACGGGGCAGAGAACACACTCTAGGCATGGGGTGCACCCTGTATAAAGTCATAGGGACAAAAGATGAAACATCTTGTACGAAGCCCAGGAAGTAGGTGGCTGGGCTGGAGCACTGAATGTGAGAGGGAGTCAGATGAAATCAGCCTCAATTTCAAAGGATAGACTGGAACCACTGTGAATTGCTTCAGATGCCAAACTGAGGAATCTGTGTTTTATCTTAGAGGCAATAGGAGCCATGAGCAAGGTCTTGAGCAAGGGAGTGACAAAGTCAGATTTGTGTTTTAGGAATACCAGCTTGACAGCTGTGCGGAAGATGGATTGGAGAGGGAAGAAACTGAGACCTACGGGGCTGTTGCAATAGTCTGAGCAGTGATAAAGACCTGAAGTAACATGGTTGTGGTCAGAGGATTAATGATATCAGGAAGGTGATGTCTTGACTTGCAAGTGAATTGGATTTAAGTGAGGCAGAGCTGTGCAAAGTCATCAGCCTCGCTCTCTCCTCCAGGGTCATCGGAGTCCAGTGGCAAGACATAAATCATAATGACTTGGGCCTCACGGCAACTCTGTGAGGGAGGTGCTGTTACAATCCCCATTTGACAATTGAAGAACCTGAGGTAGAGGTTAAGTGACTTAGCCAGGGTCACACAGCTAGTAAGTGTCTTAGGCCAGACATTTAAACTGCCTGAGTTAATATTTCCTTGAAAAGGGTGAATTAGATGGCTTCAGAGGTCCCTCCCATCTCTAAATCTATGATCCTATAAGAGGCAAGTCACTTAACCTCTCAAGGCCTCAGCTTCCTCATCTGTAAAAGGAGAGAATCAGATGAGATCATCTCTGAGATCCCTCCTAGTTTTAGATTTATAATCCTTTGATTTATAAAATGCTGGCCCTGGGGAAGATGAAGAAATCAAATCCAGTTCTTGCCCCAAGATACTTTCAAATACATTTCGAAGTTGGTCAAATTGTTATTTGTCCTTCATTCTAGAAGAGGACCAGAACATTAGGAAGATGATGCCATGACTTGCAAGTGAATTGGATTTAAGACCTGTGCAAGGTCACCAGTTCTCCTCTGGAGCCATCTGGGTCCAGTGGCCAGATATAGATCAGGATGACTGGAGATGGCCCTGGAAGCAGTGGGAGACGTTGGCCTTTTTAAGCTAAGGTCTTTAACAGGTTTGACTGAGGCAACACCCGGTCAGTGATTAAGACTATGTAAGAAATGAGGCAAAGAATGGCCTCTTTTACTTAGTCAAAAGAAAAAAAATCAGTGTGGGAGGGGAGGACCTTCAGGTCTAGTACACGTTTAAGGTTGTACAAAGAGAAACTTCCTCCTCTTGCAGGGGCTGGAGGATGTTGGGGGGAAGGAGGAGCGTACTGAGTTCAGAACGCCATAGGCTGAGAGATGAGGTCACTGGGATGGTTTTGTTTGATAGCTTATCTTTGCTTCAAGTGACAATTCAAGGGCAGTGGGGAGAATGGCATGCTGGGAAATAACTCAACCACTCTAAAGGATCTGTGAGCTTATTTATGTAGGAATTCCCTGTAGTGATGAAGACCCCAGCCCATCCATGCCAACCCATCCTGTGAGACTCTCATCCATGGTTTCCTTGAGTTCACCATGGTGTGAGTGGGGAGTGAGCCATGCAACATTCCTAGGATTATTTGCTGCATTATTCTTAGGAAATGGATATAATATGAAATATATAACCTATATTGACACGTAAATATATAATATTCATGTGTATAAGTCAATATAAATATGAAAAATAAAAGGTACCAATAAAACTGCACTGACATAACCATTAAGAACCTAAAGTTATTTCCTCCCCATAATTAGGCATGAGAGGAAGACTGTGGAAGCATGATGAAACAGTAGAAAAAGTATGGACTCTGGTGCAGTGGATAGAGTGCTGGGCTTGGAGTCAGGAAGGCTCATCTTGGTGAGTTCAATGCCAGCCTCAGACACTTACTAGCTGTGTGACTCTGGGCAAGTCATTTCACCTTGTTTGCTTCAGTTTCCTCATCCGTAAAAGAGCTGGAGAGGCAAATGGCAAATCACTCCAGCATCTTTGCCAAGAACACTGCAAATGGGGTCATGAAGAGTTGGTCATGACTGAAAAAAATTGAACAACAATGGACCCTGGAGTATGAGGACCTGAGTTCAAATCCCAATGTATGGGCAGCTCATCCACAAAGTAAGAGGGTTAGACTAGATGGTCTCTGAGGTCCCTCCCAGTTCTAGAATTATATTCCTATGAGGTAAAGTATTCTATGCATTGTTTCTTAGCCTTCTCTTTTTTTCATTTTAAAAATAAGTACAAGGAAATTAAAAGATTTTTCTACTGTCCAGGAAAATACTTGACTTAACAAGGCATTGCGGAGTGATAAGTAGTGTCAGACATGGAGTCCAGAGAGCTAGATTTGAATCCTGCCTGTGACATTGACTAACTCTATGACTGTGGACAAGCCTTTTTGCCCATCTGTCAAATGGGGATAGTCCTATTCATCCTGCCCACCTCCCAACATTCTCATGAAGAAAGTGCTAGCACAAATCGTATCTAGGTTACATAAAGATTTAAATTATTATGATTATTGAAAGTTTAAAATAATTATTGGTGGCTTTCTAGCTTATTCCAGAACCATAGCATCAGCAAGGACCTTGGAGTCTACTAGTCCAAAATCCTTGAAGCGGGAATCCCCTTGACAGCCTCCCCAGCATGGGGTCATCCAGTCTCCATTTGAAGACCTTCAATGAGAGAGGACTCACTGCCTCCTGAACCAGTCCATTCCACCCTGGGAGGCTCTAATTTCTGGGAAGTATTCCCCCTAGGAATCAGCCCCTCTTCCATTTCTATCCATTGCTCGTTGGCCTTCCCTCTGGGGCTAAGCATGTCAAGTACTTGAGGACAGCTCTCATGTACACAAGTCTTCTCTTTTCTAGGCTACATAGCCTTATTTCTTTCGATATGATTACTGATCTAGAGCTAGATAGAACCTTACAGGCCATGTAGTCTAGTCCCGCACTACCCCCCCCATTTTACAGATGAAGGGACCACGGCCCAGAGAACTGAAATGATTTGTCCAAGGTCACACTGGTGGTGTCAGAAGTGGCTTTGAATCCTCTGTCTCCAAAGGCAGTGCCACTGCTTCCTCATCACGTGGTCTCTGTGCCTCTCCTATAGGTCACGTTGGCTTAGCCCCCATCAGAAACGGCAGCTCCTCAAGGGTATGGATTGTTTCATTCTTTGTCTCTGTATCCTCTCAAACCTAGCACGTAGCAAGTACCTAATAAATGCTTGCTGTTTGCTTAATTGTCAATACTCTTCCTAAAATGAATCGCCCAGGTATTTATTATTCCCATTTTGCAGATAAGGAAACAAAGGCTCTGAATTATCAACTAACTTCCCTCAAGTAACACACTATGATATCTTAGGTAGGATTCAAATCTAGGCTTCCTTGCTCCCAAACTAGTGCTCTATCCACTCAGCCATATTGCCTCCCACAAACATTGGCTGTGATACTCCAGATGTGCCTTGGCCAAAGGTACAGAATGCCTATCATTTCCTTCTCTCTAGACACAATATTTCTGTTAAGTCTAAGATGGCAATGACACTTTTGGCTGCCATCTTGTACCATTGATTCATATTGAGTATATAGCTCACTGTAAGCCCAGATCTTTTTTATAGGAACTTATATTTAAGCAGTTTGTTTGTCTAAACCCAATTCAGGTATGTGGTTGGCTAGCAGTAACACCTAACCAAAGCCTATCTTCATATTCAGCTTATAGAAATCTCCACCTCTCTGAACTTAAAGCACTCAGTGTCTAGATCACTCATTAAAAACATTATCTATCAGTCTATCTATCTATCTTTCTACCTATCTATCTATCCACATACAAATACACACACACACACACACACACACACACATACACACACACATATTTGCCAAATACAAGGTTGTAACCAGAGCAGGGGAACCAAGGTTTTTTCCCAGAGAGTCAACAGCTTGTAGAGTGGGTACTTCTTCCCACTAGCAGTCCTTGGGACCAGCAACCCAGGCCTCAAGGTCTTAGCACCTATCTCGTACCACTATCATCCTCCTCTACCTCCTCCTTAGGGTCTGAGAACTGTTGGCTATGCTCCTGGGTCATGGGCCATAATTCCTGGGAGACAAGCTATCTCCCCTTGTGCTACAACTGCACCTGAGATGCACCATCCATTGTGGCAGTCTCACCAACTGAATTTGCCCTGGGTGCAAGAGTGATAAGTCTGGCTGAATGAAAAACAAAATGGCAAAGCTCTGGTGTGCTAAAAATAGCCAACACACAAAAGCAGAGGCAGAAAAATACAAGGCTGGGAACATCTGAGTCTACCCTGTAGTCTCAATTCTCTAGCTTATCTATCCCCCACATATATTGGTATGTCTTTATGTATGTATAGATATCTAAATCTAATGAATGTACATATATATGTAATGTATATTTGTGTGTGTGTATATCATGAGTCATTATAAGTCATTCAGAGCAGACAGATGCTTCGTGCCCAAGTCTACTTGGATTCATGTCCAGGTAGGGACAGGATCATTTTATGCCGTGCCATCAGTTATCTTCATGACCATCCACCCCCCTCAGTGATCAACATTTTTCTGTGTGCCTGTCGGTCATTCGGGTTATGGGCTATAGGAATTCTAGAAAAGGACCCATTCCCTGTCCTCATGGGCATAAACTGAGAGAAACATCAGATTAGATTAGATTAGATTAGATTAGATTAGATTAGATTAGATTAGAACGAGCTTCTGGCTGAGTATGGGGAGACCCACAGACTTAGCCAAGACTCTGCTGTGAACTTGCTGTAGGATGTAAAGCAAGTCCCTTCCTTTCTCTGGGCCCCAGTTTCCCCCTTTGGGAAATGAGGGCAGTCTAAGGAAGTGACCTCTAAGGCCCTTTCTAGCTCTGTCATTCTAGAATTCTGACCAAAGTGAGCCAGGGGAGGCACCGGGGGACTGTCGAAAGCATTCTGAGGACTTGGGTGCCAGTTCCACCTTTGATACTTGCTACCTACTCGGAGGAGCTCCTCAACCCTCCCTGGGCCCAGCTGTCTCATCTGTAAAATAAAGGAGCAAGACAAGATGGCAGCCCATTCACTTCTACATCTGATGTTTGACATACTGGCACCACGCTGACAACCAGTATTGCCTAAACTTTCTGCAGGTTAAAGAAAAGTTTTTGGTTGGTTTTTTTTTTTACATTTCCCATTTCTCATTAGCTTCTCTTTCCTCTTCTTCCTTGCCCTAATGGTTTGTGGCCCACTGGGTCCCTGTCTTTTCCAAAGGTTCAGAAAGAAGGTAGACCTAACCTTCAAGGTCAAAACCAAGAAGGCCTTGCTCCCCTCTCCTACTTTCATGAGACCAAGGAGGGAAAGGAATGAATTTGGTTGCCCTGTGCTCCCCAGGCTACAGTAATAGACCATAATCCCTCATGTTTATAGAGCACATCTAGCTTTGAAAACAATTTTCCCAATCATTATCTAGTATGGTGTAATGCCAAAACTTGGATTTTGAGACAGAGGACCTTGGGTCTCATCTCAGACTCACAGTATTTGCTACCCATGTAACTTTGGGCTAGTCCTTTCACCTCTCTGGGCCAGATGGCCTTCCTTCCAGCTCTAAAGCTCTGATCCTATCATCTCCTTTATGGGTGCTAAGTTATAATTAGAACCCTCCAGTCTGGCATCTGCCTTGAACTACGCCAGCAGAGCTCTGTAGGAACTTCGCTATTCCCCGCTGAACCTCTGGGCTGTCTTCCAGACCTAAAATATCTCTGAGCCTCACACAGCTCCCAAGACAATCCCATTTCCATCAAGTCAACTCTGCTTCCCTCACCCCAACTCCCATTCTCACTCCCATGTGGCCACTTCCCCGTCCCTGATTTCCCACACAGAGTCAAGTAAGATACTCACGTCTCTTCTTCCGCAAAAGGTTATGCTCTCACCTCGATCTACTTCTGCTCCCTCACAAGGAACTGCAGTCCCAGGCCTTACCCATTACTCAGTAGGTTTATTATTAGCCTTAGATTTGATTAGTGTCTGTGCTGTATGTTTCCTGGGTTTTTCCCCTAAACTTTTAATATGTAAATCAGGCATGGGCCTGACCATGAATACTTTTCGATGCACATGTAATCTCTAGGGCACATTAGAGCTGGGAGCTTAGACGTGTCCAGTGAATCTGATCCAAGTCCATCATATATCTATGGAATGCGTACTATACTAGGCACCTTATTCAGGCAGCTAGGTGGTACAGTGGATAGAGCGCCGGGCCTGAAGTCAGAAAGACTCATCTTCTTGAGTTCAAATCTGGCCTCATACAGTTACTAGCTGTGTGACCCTGGGCAAGTCACTTAACCCAGTTTGCCTCAGTTTCCTCAAATGAGCTGGAGTGGGAAATGGCAAACCGCTCCAGTATCTTTGCCAAGAAAACCCCAAATGGGGTCACGAAGAGTTAGAACAAGACCTGGCTCCCCCCTGGTGACACAGTCCTGCTGACTACTACCTTTTCCAGTAGGGCTGCCACTTTCACTCATGCTCATCAAAGGGGAGTCAGCATATTCCTTACTCTCCTTTATCATTTATAGACTGTCCCTCCACCCCCATCACCACATGAGCAACCTTTCCTCCTGCTGTCATCTTATTTCTATCTTCACAACATCCCTCCTGTTCGTCCCCTTCTTTGCATTCACACAGCCACCACCCTAGTGCAGGGCCTTTACCCCTATACTTCTCTGCCTCCAGTCTTTCCCTGCTCCAATCCATCTCCCAATCAGCTATCAAAATGATCTTCCTTGGGAGCAGCTAGCTGGCACAGTGGATAGAACACCAGCTATAGAGTCAGGAGGTCCTAAGTTCAAATTCGGCCTCAGACACATAACACTTGCTAGCTGTGTGACTCTGGGCTTAACCCCATTGCCTAGTCAAAAAAAAAAATGATCTTCCTCAAATACAGGTCTGACCTCACCACCCCTGTAACTCCTGTGCCTCCCTATTACCTCCAGGATCAAATATAAAATCCACTGTTTTGCCATTTAAAGCCCTCCACAACCTGGCTCCTTTCTGCCTTTGTAGTCTTCTGATACTTTACTCCCCTCCCACCGACACTGGTCACCTTGCTGTGTCTCACACACAATACTCCATCTCTCATTTGCTTCCATGCCTTTGCACTGGCCATCCCCCATACCTGGAATGCTCAGCCCTCTCACCTCCACTTTCTAGCTGCCCTGATTTCTTTTTTTTTCTTTTGGGGAAGCAATTGGGGTTAAGTAACTTGCCCAGGGTCACACAGCTAGTAAGTATCAAGTGTCTGAGGCCGCATTGGAACTCAGGTCCTCCTGACTCCAGGGCCAGTGGGGGAGTTTTGAGGAAGCCACAAATGACACATGAAGGTCAGCAATTGACATAGAAAATGTTTAGAAACTCAGAAATGCATAAAGTATATGTATAGTATTATATAATATCAACATATTTTATCTTTTAATACCATAATAATTCTGACTTCTCTGGTACAAAGGGAGGGCTAAAAATTTTTACACAGATTTTTCAGGTGGGGGGAGGGGCATGCCCCTAACTCTCCCTTCCCCTCCCCCCCCCATGTGGAAGGGATAACTGTATTTCCATTTTGTACATAGTTGTTTGCATGTTGTCTTTCCCATTAGATAGTGAGCTTCTGGGTTTTGGCTTTTTTTTTTGCCTCTATTTGTATGCTCAACACTTAACATAGTGCCTGGAACTAAATAAATACTTAATAAATAATTAACAAAGTACAGAAATCAGAACCATTGGGAAAAGCACAGTTCTTAAAACTACAAGAGCTAGATTCAAACACCAGCTGTGATGCTTACTGGCTAAGTAATTTTGAGTACAGTCACTTCACCTCAGTTTCCTCAACTGTAAAATGAAGATAATAACAGTGCTATCACACAGGGTTGTTGTGAAGATCCAATGAGATAATATTTGTTAGGGGAAAAAAAACACTTTGCACAGTACCTGGCACGTAGTAGGAACTTTATAAATGCTTCTTCCCCTCCCCCCTTTATCCTAGTCATTCCTATGTTACCTGTGTCCCAAGGTTTTTGTGAAGATGGAAGTGAAATCAAGTCTGCACTCTGCTAGGACTACGAAAAAGCCTCCAGACCTGGAGACAGACGATGAAGAAAGAGTTCAACTCAGAGGTGCCAGCATTTCATAGATACCTCCAATACACAGAGGTTCCCAGAGCCCATGGCCATGCTACAATCAAGGCTGAGGCTGACTTATCCTCCAAATACTGGGTTTTTAATTCTTGCTTCTTCACTTTTTTTCAGGGAGGAGGGGAAGAAAAGGATGGGGAAAAGGGAGAATTCTTTTTTTGGGGGGGGTTGGGTTTTTTTTTTATTAGTTTACTTTCATTTATCAACAATCACTTCCATGTGCTTTTGAGTTTAAAATTTTTCTCCCCCTTCCTCCCCACCGCCCTCCCCAAGATGGTGCACAATCTGATATAGGCTATACATTTACATTCCTATTAAACATATTTTCACATTAGTGATGTTGTAAATAAGAATTAGAACCAATAGGAGGAACAACCAGAAAGAGGAAACAAAACTAAACAGAAGAGGAAAAAAAATAGCAAATAGTATGCTTCGATCTGCATTCAAACTCCATAGTTCTTTCTTTCTTTGGATGTGGATTTTCCAACAGGAGGCCTTTGGAGATGTCTTAGATCCTTGTATTGCTGAGAAGGGTTAAGTTTATCAATATTAGTCATCGTACAACGTGGCTGTTACTGTGTACAATGTTCTCCTGGTTCTGCTCCCTTCACTCAGCATCAGACCATACAAGTCTTTCCAGGTTTTTCTGAAGTCAGCCTGTTCATCATTTCTTATGGAACAATAGCATTCCATTCCATTCATATACCACAGCTTGTTCAACCATTCTTCAGTTGATGGGCATCCTCTCAATTTCCAATTCTTTGCCACCACAAAAAGAGCTGCTATGAATATTTTTGTACATGTGGGTCCTTTTCCCATTTGTATGATCTCTTTGAGGTACAGCCCTAGAAGTGCTATTGCTGGGTCAAAGGGTATGCCCATTTTTATAGCCCTTTGGGCACAGTTCCAAATTGCTGTCCAAAATGGTTGGATCATTTCACAACTCCACCAACAATGCATTAGTGTTCCAATTTTCCCACATCTTCTCCAATATTTATCATTTTCTTGTTTTGTCATCTTGGCCAATCTGGTAGGTGTAATGTGATACCTCAGAGTTGTTTTGATTTGCATTTCTCTAATCAATAATGATTTAGAGCATTAAATCTTTTGTTTTTAAAAACTAATTAATATTATATTGAGCCCCCCCCCAAAAAAATCTACCTCATCAAAATACCTTTTCTTCACTTATTTCTGTAAATGTTACATCCAAGCTCCTTGAGGGCAGGGGCTAGTTTTTGTGTTATTTTGCATTCTCAGTGCCTAACACATAGTAGGTACTAAATAAATGCTTATTGAATGAATGGAAAAGCATTTATTAAGCACTTACTATGTCTTATTTCTGACAAATATTGACTGCGTGACCCTGGACAAGTCACTTAATCTCTCAATGCTCTAGAGATATGAACCAGAATTTGGGGAAGGGTCTTTTTCATCATGTGGGGAGGGGAATACTATGGAAGATAAAGTGAGACAGCAAGAGGTAAATTGGGGAGGTTGGAGGGGAAAAAGACTGTTAGAAGCCATCTTTCCACCCCAATTAGAATCCCTTGCTTCCTTCCAAACCCTCCCCAGGGGATGCCTTCTCCATGGAGATCCTTGATTCCCCAGATGTCAGTGCCCTCCCCCTCACAAAAACTTTAGATTGTATTTATTTTGCATGTTTTTTTTAGGCAATTGGGGTTAAGTGACTTGCCCAGGACCACACAGCTAGTAAATGTCAACTGTTTGGTCTGAGGCCGGATTTGAACTCAGGTCCTTCTGACTTCAGGGCTGGTGCTCTATCCACTGTACCACCTAGCTGCCCCTTAATAAATTTTTGGTTGAGTGATTGACTGAGAATTTGGAGGTACCTTAGAGATCATCCAGGCATCTAGTGGTTTAGTAAACAGAGCACCAAACTCGGAAGCAGGAAGACCTGAGTTTGAATTCTGCCTCAGACTCTATTCTTGAGACCCCTGGTCAAGCCCCTTTACCTCTCTGCCTCAGTTTCCTCATCTGCATAATGGGTATCATAATAGCATCTACTGTATAGAGTTGTATCAAGGATCCAATGTGATGGTATTTGTCAAGTCCTTTGCAGACCTTAAAGTCCTTCACACACGTTGGGTATTATTAGTCTAATCCCTTCTTTTTACAAGAAGAAAACTGAGAGTGAGAGAGGAAATGACTTGCCTCAGGTCACAATGAGTTAGTGGCAAAGCCAGAATTAGAATTACGGTCTTCAGAGCCTTGGTTTATTCATTTTATCTTCATGCAAAATGGTCAGACTGGGCTGAAACAACTAAGTCTATCTATCCTATTTTCCAAGATAGTTTTCTGGCTAGAGAATCATTACATTTCAGCCAAACCATCTCAATTCTATCCATGCCTGAAATAGGCTCCCACCATCCTCTCCCCACCCCATCTCCACTTTTTGAAATCTTTTCCTTCCTTCAAACCCAGTGCTGTGCTCCATTTCTTTCCCTCCAGCTGAAAATTACCTCTCCCTCTGGGGCAGCTAGGTGGTGCAGTGGATAGAGCACTAACCCAGGAGTCAGGAAGACCTGAGTTCATAATCCAGCCTCAGACACTTAATACTAGCTGTGTGACCCTAGTCAAGTCACTTAACCCCAACTACCTCACCAAAAAAAAAAAAAAGAAGAAGTAGGGGACTAGAAGTGTTGCCTTTCTCAGTCGATCTTAGGATCATAGATTTAGATTAGATTAGATCCATTAGAGGCCATCTAATCTAACTACCTCACTTTACAGTAGAGGAAACTGAGGCCCAGAGTGATTATGTTGCTTGCCTGAAGTCACAGAGGTAATCTGAGATGGAATTTGAACACAGGTCCTCTG